TATGGGGGTTAGTGTTTTTCCCCATAGTTCCCCTAAGGGTCACGGGAGGACATAAACTAACGTCCTCCTGTGACCCAAAGTTCAGTATATAGAGAGCTACAGCTCGCGGTATACTGAGACCGCCGCAGCCGGGCTGGCTTCAACAGAAATGTATCTGTAAAAAATAAATGAAGGATCACTGTCTTGCCCACGGCTCTAAGTCTCCAAATATTAATTGATAAAGCAATGTCCGCTCCAGTATGCGAACACGCTTCAGCCATAAAGGCCTTAAAAGCCAATGAATAAGGCCGTTATGGTTGAAACGAGTTAACATACTATTTATGTTGCTGATATAACTTGATCAATCAACGTTTGGGGACTTGGAGCCGTGGGCAGGACTTTTATTGCTTTATTGCAAAGTATCTGGTGTGTTGATGTTTAGGTAGGGGGCATCAAGGATAAGGCAGGGTGAAGCAAATTAATTCTAGGGTTAAAGGAGAACTATAAGGTGAGTGATTTTCACTCAACCTCATAGTCCGAGCCGACCTGTGACAATTAAACCGTCACACGTCGGCTCAATAGATCGGGAAGTGAGCGAACACATAGCATCGCTCGCTCACTTCTCGATCCTGTCCCAGCAGAGAGCCGTGACTGTCACTCACGGCTCCCTGCAGGGATTGCCCCCCTTCCCTGTCAGATCCTCCAGCGCTGACTGGAGGAACAGGCTGGGGAGGGGGGCGGGCACAGCTGGCTCTGCCTCTAGATAGGCAGAGCCAGCTGTCAATCACGCAGATGGGTGGATCTCAACAGTCGGGATCCATCCTGGCTGCGGCTGTCTCGGTATACCGCGAGCTGTAGCTCCCGATTTACTGAGATTTGGGTCACGGGAGGACGCTAGTTTATGTCCTCCCGTGACCCTTAGGAGAACTATGGGGAAAAACACTGACCCCATACTTCTCCTTTAAGCACAAGTGGCATAGGGGGCTTCTTCTCAGTCAGAGCGGTCAGGGTCTGGAACTCTCTGCCGCAAGCAGTGGTATCAGCTGAGAGTGTTGAATCATTCAAAATACATTTGGACAATTTCCTCAGAGACCGGAACATACAGGGGGACAGGTACCCTTAAAAACAAGATCACACAGGGACCCATGCATACGCATACACACGCAGAATCACATACATACACGCAATAGGTTGTCTTTTCTTCAACCTCAAATACGATGTAACTGTAATTTAATACATTCTCATTCTTTCTACTAGGGGGTGTCCAAGGTAGATTAAAGAAAGTAGAAAGGATGAGAGAGCCGCAGATGTGATTTGACTCCGTGTTCAGAAAAAAAAAAGGAGCGCTAAACCAAAAGGTGAAGGCGACCCAAGCGTGCCGTTAATTGTTTACAATTCCAGCAAACAAAAAACAGACAGCGCGTTTCAGAGGCAGCAACATTCCCCCCTTCATCAGGGCTTAGGATGGTATAAGCCAATCCCAGTCCTAAAGGAGATCGTTTTATCAAAGCATGTAGCGATCCATTGGGTTATAGTGTCTTTTAAGTCCAAACGAAAACCTTATCCCATCCTAAGCCTTGATGAATAGACTTGTGCCCAGTCAAAAAATGTGTTCCGTTTCGCTCCGTTTCGGAATATCCGTTATTTCGTATTTCGTAATTCATGTCCGAAACTCAATTCGGATTCGTAAGAAATACGAATTTTCGTTAGTTTCGGCACATTTTCGTAACTGTACGAACATTCGTTATGATGAAGTTAAAAAGCAAAAATACCTTTGTTAATATTGGAGTCGATGTGGTAGTTGTTTTTTTTATCCGAAATACGAATTCAGTTAACGGATTCCGGATCTGAATTTCGTATTTCGGATAAAAAAAACTACCATCAACTCCAATATAAATGTACTTTGCTTTTTAACTTCAATTTTATAACGAATGTTCGTAACGGAACGAAAATACGTCAACGGAATTTCGTATTTCCTGCCTGTGTATTGTAATGCAACCCTCAGCAGCAGCGGATCCGTATTTCGGATTAAAAAAAAAATAAATCTTGTCGTGTTGTTCAACCCCATTTACAGGGGTAATATTAGTTCCCGTTTCAAAGAAATTCGGATCCGAAATTCGTTAACGGAATTTCGTATTTCGGATATAATTCGGAAACTGCAATTCGGATTTCGTATGCTTCCGAATTTACGAATTTCAGGAAAATTCGTACGAATTTCGATTCGTAACGAAACGAATCGCACATGTCTATTGATGAAGGAGGAGTGTTGTTGCCCTTGAAATGCGTTGGATGTTTTTGCTTTCATCAAACAGATCTAACGCAAGTCCAGAAAATCTTTATTGCATATGACAAGAGGTAATGTAATGCTAAAAGCAGTTCTATTGTGATGACCCGAACTAGTGCTACTGTTATTCTTTTTTTTCTGCAATTGGTTGTCTCTTCATTTACTAAGCCCTGATGAAGGAGGAGCACTGAGCCCCGCCGAAACGCGTTGGGTTTTTCTTCTGACCTCTTGTTCAATAAAGATTTACTGGACTTGCATTGGATCATCTACGCTCTGTAAATCCAATTTTGGCGGCGGGACGGTTAATCCTCCTGATACGTGGCTTAGCTTCCATTTTTTTCTTTTTAAACGCGCAAAGGAGAAACTCAAAGCAGCTTTCAATTTGTATGTAAAGCAGTTTTGGTCGTCGGCACAATAAGCGCAGAGTTTGGATTACGCGCTTCCATAGATAGTCAGAAATGGGGGACCCCCCCCATAGCTCCCTAATATATCAAATAATGTTAATAAAAGAATTCCGTATCTGCCCGTTCTGG